GAGGCTGGAGAGTGTGTTCTACAAATGGAGGGAGCGGCAGTCAGCCATGCAGGGCTGCAGCCTCTAGAAACTGGAAAAGTCAGAAGGCAGGTTCTCCCCTGGAGCCGCCTAAAGAAATACAGCCCTGCCCACACCTTGGTTTTAGGCCTGCGAGACCTATTTCAGACTTCTAACTTCCAGAACTGTGAGATAACAAATGTATGTTGTTTTGAGCCACTGAGTCCTTGGCAATCAAAAACTACTACAGCGGTCAAATAATTCAAACTTTTAAAACGTATCTTTCTAGGTTTGGGTTCCTGTTCAGAAAGACCTTTACTACTCTGAGATTATAAAAAAATTTTTCCCATGTCTCTTTTCAGAATTTCTTACTTGAACAGATTGACTAATTGAAGGAAGCAGCCAGATGTCCACATCTTGTGCTGATTGAGTAGCAAAAAGGACACATGGATGGAAAAGTTGTCCATTTGACATTTGGACTGGGACCTGTCTCAGAGGAGTCTGCTAGCACATGTGGGTCTGGCTATTTACTGTTTATCCAGGCTGACATTCAAGACTGCAAGATGAGACTTGAGCACGGTGTCAGGGAGAGTGGGGGACTGAGGGGGCACGAGAGAAGGGGGATGTTCTCCACCACTGCAGGGGGAGGTAGAATGTTGCATATCCCCATGGAGAGATTCGCGGAAACATGTAGACCTTAGGGCAGGGCAGGGAGGCCCATGGGAGCGGGGCCAGCTTTCTGAATTATGGGGCCCAGTACAAAATGAAAATGTGAGGCCCTTTGTCCAAAAATTAGGAGAAAGGTGGTGTTAGGGGTGCTAAAATATAATGCTTTTTCCTTCCTTCTAGTCTCTTTCTTGACTTGTCATGGTGTTTTTCACTTACAATTTAATGACATTCTAAATAAAGAAAAGTTAAAACTTTAAATTATTAGTACAAATGTAACCATTTACTTTGTATTGCACAATGCCAGCTTCAAATGCAAATATATCAGCATTTAACTCACATGCAGTGTCACCAAAATTACCCCGTTTTCACTTTGTAGCTGGACTTGCATCCATACTGTCGATCCTTCGATCCTCCTTATTTGTAGGTTCTGTATTGGTGAATTTGCTTACTTACTAAAATTTATTTATACCCCCCTAATCAGTTCTCTTGGCACTATTCATCATTCATGGACAGGCACATGGCAGAGCAGGAAAATTCTGCATCAGCAAATACCCACTGTTCCCACCAAGGGTTGAGTATAGGTGAAGTTCTGCTTTCTCATTTCAGCCCTCAAACTGTAAACAATTACCTTTTTTGTGGTCTATTTAGTGCCACATTTTTTTCCCTTTCATGCTTTTTGTTGGTGACTTCACTATTTCAAATGACCCCCAAGTGTAGGGCCTAAGGGCTGTCTAGTGTTTGAAAGGCAAGGAGGCTGTGATGGGCTTTATGGAGAGGCTGGGTGAGCTAGATAAGCCTCATTCAGGCATGCGTTATACTGTAGCTGCTGTTGCGTTCTGTTAAAAAAGGAACAGGCCTCAAATGGAGTCACTTGCCCCCCGCAACAGCAAACCAAGACTTAATTACCATTTCAGCCACTCCCAGGAATGTGACCTTTAGCCAGTCAATCTGGAATGACCTGATCAGCAATAGGGAGGTGATCATATAGACGCATGCCCTTCCCCCAAAGGGAGGGGACCTCCCCTGACATCATCCTTTCTTTTTCTCTGACTTCCTCATCACCAACCCCCTTTCTGCCTTTAGAAACCTTACATTTTGCACCGCCACTTGGAACTCCCTTCCGTTTGATGCTGCCCATTTGTGAGTGGTTGAATAAAATCAATAAGACCTCCAAATTTACTCGGTGGAATTTTGCTTTTTAACAGTCCCAATGTTAATGAATCAACATGTGTTAAATAAGGTGTCTTTAAATAGAAATACTCAAGAAGACAAGGTTATGTGTGGATCAGCTGGTGAAAATGTTGTGACTAGAAGCCTGCAGGGATTGTTAAAAAACAAAATTCAATCAAGTAAATTTGAGGAGCTAATTGGTTTTACTAATGACTCATGAATTGGGCAGCATCCCATTAGCAAGTGGAGAAACGCTCCAAGGAGACATGTAGAATGGAAAGCTTTTATAGGAGGAAGGGTGGGGCACTAAGTTATTAGCCAAAGAAGAGGTTGGGGATGGTCCCCCCCCTTTGAAGGAGCAGGGGGTCTACTGCAGATGACCTCACTAGGAAGTTCCAAACTGTTTGGGTTAAAATTCCACCTCTGGGAGAGACTGAAACTGCAATTCGGTGCGGCATTAGCTGCAGTTTGCTAAGTTGGCCTAAGTGACTCCCTGTTGGGCTTTGTTTTTCTTTTTAACAGAATCTAACTCTGTATTTCCCTCAGTAGCAGTATTTGCTGATCCAGAGTTTGTGATGAGTGTCTAGACCATAACTCCTATGAGTAGCAAGAATCAATTGTATTTTGTTCTTACCGGAACAGTGGAAATACTTCACAAAACAAACTCAACTGTTTTTACTCCTGTGATAGTATGATTTATAATAAGAACTATGTGTTCAGTCTTTGTCCTCATTTCTGGCACAGAGCTGCTGAAACCCTTGTCATTTCCTATATCCTGAAAGTGACAAAGTACCTTTTGCTATATTAATGGTGAACTTTGGACCACACCTGAAGATGAGGGCTGGATGCCTTGAGGATCAACCGAATCAACCATGTGACTAGAGAGCTGTGGATGGATATTCTGAGACCAGTTCCTGTGTGTGTGTGTGTGTGTGTGTGTGTGTGTGTGTGTGTGTGTGTGTGTGCTGAAGAGGGGAGGTTCCCTCACATATAATACCAAGCAATTCTTAGACACCAGCAGGATGTCTGAGAATGCAAATCAATTCTGACACTCTACCAGATTCCACAGGTTAGGTGCTCAGTCCTACAAGACTGCTGTGTCCACCCCCATCCTAACCTGCCCCTTCGGAGGCCAGTTGCAAGCCCAGGCTGTTTTGTTACCTATACTTCTGACCAGCTACAGATTGGGGGTTCCAACGTGCTCCTCCTTAGGTTCGCTTAGTTTACTAGAGCAGTTCACAGAACTGAGGGAAGCACTTACTCTCCAGGGAAAGGAGAAGGCTGGCGGTTGAGTCGATCACCAATGGCCAGTGATTAGTCAGTCATGCCTGTGTAATGTAATCTCCATAAAAACCCAAAGGACAGGGTTCAGAGAGTTCCCAGCTTGGTAAACCAGAGCCTGCTCATTGGGAGAATAAAAGTTCCTCTGGAACTTTTCTATGTATCTCTTCATCTGGCTATTGATTCAAATCCTTAACACTCGGCAATAAATCTGCAACCTAGTAGTAAACTGATTTTCTGAGTCCTGTGAGCTGCTCTAGTAAAGTAATCAAATCTCAGATTTATTATAGTAGTTGGTCAGAAACACAGCAACAACCTGGGCTTGTGATTGGCATCTGAAGTGGAAGACAGTCTTGTGGAACTGAGCCCTTAACTTGTGGGATCTGACGCTATTTCCAGGTAAGTAGTGCAGAATTGAGTTGAATCGCAGGACACCCAGCTGGTAGCAGAGAATTGTTTGGCCGTGTGGGGAAACCCCCATACATAGGAATTGATCAGAATTGTTAACTCACTTCTTGATGCACACACATTCTATCTACACACTCCACCTTCAACTTATGGAAGACTGAAAGGAGAAACTGTGTTACTCTATGTTCCCTTTCTTACTATGTCATTATTTTCAGCTTAAGTGGTTAACTAATACAAGGAAATAACAGAAATAACAAAGGATATGACAGGTTTGTTTGTGTTTCTTAGAACACCATTGCCTTCTTTCAGCGACAGTGACTTATTGACCGGTGTGATTCAGCATTTCTGGAAGTATTTGCAAGTTAATAGAGGCTCTCAGACCACAGGAAAACCAGAAGCCATCACAAAGCAGCAAGAAGATACTAGGGGAGGAGGCAACGAGGAGACAGCAAAAGCTTGTCTTCTGCTCACCGTTAGAGGGTGAATTATAAAGAGGGAGGGAGGATTTCACAGACCCCTGTATTTCTTGCTAAACAGTGTTCCTGAACGAGCTCACAGTCAATATGATACAAGTTTGAATAATTAACTCACTCCATTTAGTTAGCAAGGAAGTCAGAATGGATTAGTTATCTTTATAGTTTCTTACCTGATCTTGGAAAACTTTCCTTATATTTTGCTTTATCAGACCTATGAGATGAGACAATTACTGCAATTGGGCATTCAGTTTAGCTCAACATGTCCTGGCAACCAATGTGAAAAAATAAAACTATAAAGGGAAAGACATAATTTTAAAAGTCTTCTGTCCATTCATTTTGTAAAAATTCTCAGAACAAGAAATAAACAGGGAGGTTTACCTATCTAATATGAGACAATCTACAATTTATCAACATTCTCAATTTGCAAGAACGTGTGTAAGTGTAACTGGCTTACTAAGGTGTCCAATTCATTGGGGTGTACACCTAAGCTGGCTTTTTTCAATAGGACATGCCCTCTAGCTGTGGTGAGTTGAACCTGCCGTTCTTACAGGGTGGTGTGGCTCTCTCAACAAGTTCTTATTTTGATCCCGTGGTTTTTCAATTCTCCTCTTGGTTTAAGGGGATTCTCTTATGCTAGTATGTAAAATTCAGTTCTGTTTGAATCTTCTTTCTCACATCTGATATAAACCTCTCCTTACTTGTCTGAGTTTGCCAAATATCTCAGTGCTTGTCATTGCTTCTCTAGATAACCCTGCTTGCCATCATATGGACCAGATACGGTGTTCTCTGTGTGGCGGGAATTTAAATGCTAGTCACTTATCTGGTGCATCTGAGAGGCTTAAAGAAATCTACCCACAATATTGTACTAGACGCCTGAGGACTAGCTCCTGCAACAATCTCCTTTTATCCCACATCGTCATCTGTTTGGGCTGCTGTAACAAAATACCACAGACTGGGTGACTTCAACAACAAACATTTATTTTTCACAGTTCTGGAGACTGGGAAATTCAAGATCCAGGCACTCAAAGATTTGGTGTCTGGTGAGACCTCTATCCTGGTTCACAGATGGCCCTCTTCTTGCTGTGTCCTCATGTGGTAGATGGGGCAAGGGGCTCCCTGGGGTCCCTTTTATAAGGGCACTAATCCCATTCATGAGAGCCCCACTCTCATGACCTAATCACCTACTAAAGGCCCCACCTTAAAATACTATTGCATTGGGAATTAAGTTTCAACATAATGAATTTTGGGGGAACACAAAAGCTCAGTCTACAGCAGCCATCCAAGTGCTTGGAGGCCACCTCAGATGGCCTACACCTCACAGCTTCACCCTAGAGAAACTTTGCCTGGTTCCTTGATGAGGTGGTACCACCTAGATGGTCCTGGCCACACTCCTATTGTAGTTGGCATGCCCAACAGTGGGTGGCCCAGCTACTTCACAGCCCCTCTCTCTCAGTTCTGACAACAGTTTCTTCTTTCTCATTTTCTTGGGGCATCAGGCACCCTGTAGGACATGATTACCACCCCCAGGGATGGGGGCAATGAAGGAGGAAGAATCTCTTCCTGACCAGCACAGTCCTCAAGGCGAGCTTCAATTACCTCTCCATCCTCTCCTGTGGAGCAGGAACATGATACGGTGGAGAGCAGTATATGGCAGGATGAATTTTCCTGCTCTCAATAAGCCCTGATAGGGGTTCGTTGACCCCTAATAGCTGGTGGCACTTAGAACTCAGAATGTAGCGTGTTTTACACCTTCGGTACTCAGCTCTAGGCCTTTGCCTGGATTCCTGAATAACAGAGAAAAACCTCTCTCACCATTTTATGGTATAAGTATGTGCACTGAAACCCCATCACCAATCATCGATTATCAATAACCTGCCTTTATCCTGGGCCTGGTGTGAGACAGGGTAAACACAAAGGACTGAGGTATATTTCCTAGCAGGCAAAATGACGCAGATTGACAGGGGAGACTCAGCATCTATGTTAAAACAATGGGGAAAGCACACAAATACCCAGAATGATTACACTTGCATGTGCCCCGTGTTATATCCATTTTGAAGAAGGAACAAAGACAGGTGTCCTTGTTTAAGTGAGATGAGCCTGGATGGCTTCACTCCCACCTTTATCCGTGCTTTAAAGTTATTTTTTATTTTGAAACGATTTACAGAAGAGTTACAAAGAGAGTAACGGGGTTTCTGTAGACCCTTCACCCAGCTTCCCCTAATGTTAACATGGTGCATAACCACAATACGTTTACCAAAACTAAGAAACTAACACTGAGATAATACTACTAGCTAAAATATGGAGTTTTTGAACTTTACCATTTTTTTCCTACTCATGTCCTTTTTCCGTGCCAGGGTTCAGTTGAAGCTACCAGGCTGTATGTAGTCCTCATGTCCCTTTAGAGTCCTCCAATCTGTGACTGTTTCTCAGTCTTTCCTTATCTTTCATGATTTTAACACTTTTAAGAATTCCAGGCAGGTATTTGTAGAATGTCATACAATTTGGGTTTTCTGTATTTTTTTTTGTTTTTTGTTTTTTCTCATGACACAAATGAGGTTGTGGATTTGGGGGAAGAATACCACCGAGGTGGAGTACCCATCCTTGATCATATAGCAACGTAACTTTTTACTGGTGAGTTAACCATGAGCATTTGGGTAAAGTGGTATCTGCCAAGTTTCTCCGCTCTAAATTTATTCTTCCTCCCTTTCTACATTCTGTTTGTTAGAAGTCACTAAATTCAGGGGATTTAAGTTCCAGCGGATGTATCAAATAACTTGTTTTGAACATGTGTTAAAACTACAATTATGAATAAATATTTAGGTGGGGGAGATTCTCTGAGGCTAAGCAACTATCTTATTTCTCCTTCAAGCATCACCCATTAATTTTAACATTCATCAGGACTTGCCCACAGCAATTGTTCTGTGGTTTCTTAATAATGATTTATTTTCCCCCTCATCTCTTACATTTATCATTTGGAATTCATCTGTAAGGAAGACTTATCCCTTTCCTTCATTTTATTTATTTGACCAATGGTAAAGATATTTATTTTGTTTTTTATAAATTTATATCATAATTATTTATTTTTATTGCTTAAATTATTCTAGCTTTGCCTTTGGGGGCCCTTCCAGTTGGCGCCTTTTGATATGCCCTCATCTTTTCTTTCCCTGTCCCCCTCTCTTTCTCTTCTTTTCTACAAGATGGTCAAGCTCATCCTGTGTTATCCCTGCCCCAATCCTAGAACCAGCCATTTCTTGAAAGAGCTCTGGTTCCTTTTATTGGAAAGTGATATTTAGAAACCAAGATCTGAGTGCTAAGTGTGTTCATTGCTACCAGGTGTCATCATTTCTAGGTTTTCTAGTGGACAGAACTAGGAAAGGTATGTATACCAGCCTATGTGTACACATATATGTATATTTATTTTTGTATCTATTCATATATATTAAAATTAACATGGTTCAAAATACGACTCCCGCTCTAATCCAGCACCACAGAGTTCATTGTAGACTTTCCTGTTTGCTTATTTGTCACCTCTTTCTCTGGCACTAAGAAACCTGCCTTTCCTTGCCTATAATATATTTACTTACTTGTTCATCCCTAGTATACATTTAAAGTAGTTTCAGAATTGCTAATCTATGAGATATGTGGCTATCCTGTGAGAAACAAATTTTCCAACTAGAGTGCAGTGTTTGTGCACAGTTCTTTGTGTCTTTATCTTACAGTTTCAAGTAAAGACATTGTTTTCCAAAGTAAATTAGGCCACCGCTGTCTCCTTCAATGAGGTTATGTCATATATTTGTAATACAGTTAGATTACTTTTCCCAACATGCATTCCATCATCAGTTCCCTTGACCGCTGATTTGTGTTTAAAATTTTGCATACAATGAAAGACACTCTATGCTGTGTAATTTTTGTGTTTTGACAACTGCAGAGAGTCATGTACCACAGCTTTTGTGAGTGTCTTAGAACCCTACTCATCTCTGCCTAATTTTGGCCTACCCAAATGAATTCACTGAAATACAGTAATGGTCAAGGGTCTGCAGTAGACCCTGTAATGGCCATGGATATGGAAGGACAGACTACTTCCTGTGGTTTTCCAGCTGGGTGGCTGGGTCTCAGTTCTTCTGGAAGGAGCTGTGTGTCTGCCCCTGCTCTCTGAGTCCTGCCCCTGAGTCCCTGCCTCCTAACTTGGCAGTTAGCATGTTCTCATAATCATTAGAGTCCTCCTTTGACATCTCTTCTCCATGTTTCATCTGACTGTTTCCACTCTGTGCAGAGAGCTGGTGGGCCACAGAATCCCCTAAAGCCAGGTGGCTCCCTGATCGCAAGACAACCTGGATACGGGTCCCTGGACCTTCTGTCCTGCCCTCAACATGATCTGTGTTTGAGGATGTCCTTTCTCCCTCTGCCTGTGGCCAGCTCCCATTGGGATCTGCTGATGGGACATTCTCATAATCTCTGCAGCATGGAAAAGCCACACAGGACTGTTTCTCCTGGGTGTCCTCAATATCCAACCCTGCCATGTTGACATAGTCATTTGAGGTCTGAGAACCTTCCCCATCACTTAGTGGATCATTGCTCCTGGTTTCTGGAGACCAAAAACAGGTGCAGTCATTGGAATCCCCAGCATCTTTGTCCTTTTCCTCAGTAAACTCTGACTCCTGGGCACTTGGTAGGACAAAGAGACTCCCAGGGGAGCTGGTGGTAGAAGCTAGAGTCTTGGCAATCTCTTCTGCTGTGGGAACATTGATGTAATCTCTCGAATCCTCTGAAGAAATACTTGGGCAGTCTCTGGTTGCTCTGACATTGGCATAGAGTGCTGAGGGAGTGAAGCTCCCACACAGCTGAGGCCCCACGGCATTGTTATAGATGCCCACCGTGTAGTCCATGGCATGAGTATGGGCTCTGTGCATCTGGAGGGCACTCCTTGCTTGGGAAGGCTATGAACAAGAAGAGAAAGCCAGTGGCAGGATGGAGACAGAAATTGGGACAAAGCCTTTCTTCCCCTGCCCAGTGATGCTGTCTGACAGTTCGCTCTGTTCTCCACCTTGGAGAAATGTCTAAGGCTTTAGATGGTAGGTAGGTAGGTACGAGTGAAGTGGGCTGGAGTTTAAAGCAATGTTGTAAATGTGATAATAAATTGCAACTATTTTTGGCTACAATGTGGGGGTTCAATGGGGAATGAGGGGGATTTATTATAAACTGGAGAGAGTCTGCCCCCTCAAAGCACATTGAGAGGCAACCTAGCACCATGGCTGAAGGTAGGGACCTAGGTTCAGGCTGAGAGTACAAACCCCAGCTTCACCACTCTAGGCCGAGTTTGGGCAAGTTACCCATCTCTTTATGCCACAGCTTTCTGAGTTAGGAAAATAAAATGGGGATAATACCTACATCATAAAGTTTTTGTGAGGAATAAATAGATTACTACATGTAAAGTGTTTAGCATAGTTCCAGGTACATGGAAAACATTAAAAAATGTTTGTCATTATGACATAAAGGGGCAGCTGATGCACAGACTCAGCTGATAATGGCCATTTAAGGAAGCTGGTCTGATGTTTCCAGAACTTCTGAATTTTCAAGAAAAGCCGGATATCCAGACTTTAATGTGAAATCTTTTAGATTTTTAAATTGGCGATTGGCTCAAAATGTTCTGTGAACACTGCAGAGTCCAAGGCAAACATATCTGTGGGCTTATGTCAGTTCAGGACCTAAGCTTTAAACACAGACGCCCCTCAGGGCCCACCCAGGAGCTGGACCTAGCCTTGCCAACGGATTGCCTCCTGCCCTTTACCAGCTACTCAGACTTGCTGCCCCAGGAAGTCTTAGAAGCAGGAGCAGAGCCCGAGGATGGGGCATATGGGGCGGGGAAACAAAGGTGGCAACACGAAGTGGCTGTGTGGTCATGGCGCCTAAACCTCCAGGCACTGAGAGGCCGGATACCAATAGAATCAAAGGCTGTGGCAGGACTGCATTTACCGAGATGACCACAAAACCCCGAACCGATTTTTATCCAAGCAACTGAGGACGTATCTATGGAAATAAGCATATCCTAAGCTTCAAAGCAGTCCCTCTTCTATCCCTGGGGCCTTTGCCCCACACTGCTGTGGGGCTCCTCCTTAGGAGCTGCCTTCAGAGCCAGATCATAAGACACACGGGGTTACTGTTACTCATTGCAATGTTCCCCTTGCAACCTCGAAGGATATCCCCCACTTGATCAAATCCTGTCTCTGCCAGCTACAGTGCTCAGTGACTTACGAATAGTTCTACTGGTGAGGATAATTGAAACAACTTGACACAGGCCCCAGGAGCGATTCCTAAAGGAGGGCAGGAAGAGCGTTTATGCCAACCGCATCACTGGAAAATCTGTATACCCTCCTGGGCTGATTGCTGTGACAGGGACAGTATGCACTTGGATGAGCCATTATCGTGAATCCATTTCAGTTCTAACATCATGTCCTTGAGCGCATCTGCCCTGGTGCCTTTCTTAAAATCCCAACCCTTTGCTTCTATCTTTCTGTGTCTTCCTCCTTGGGCAGTAGAGAGGTCCTGAGACTAGTTTTCCTGATTTATGGACAGGGCCACAGGGCCGTTGCCAAAGGACATGTTGTTTGCAGTAAAACAAGGTCCAAGACCTGAACCCTCGTGCCTCTGTTTTTGTGTCAGAGATGCGTCATTTCTCCCAGGGGGCTTGCCATTTCACTTGAGCCTTACCATATATTCAGAAGGAGGGCTGTCAGAATTTCTGGAAAGGAGGCTTTCAGTACTGAAAACACGGATACTCCTTGACTGATGTCTCTCTGAAAAGACAGAGAACAATCCCTGAAACTTGTTAGCCAGCTCTCTAAGTGCTTCAGCCTGAACATTCTCCACGCAGGGGAGGAAGTGGGTCTCTATGGTGTCTGCTATCTGTGGTGAGAGGGTCCAAGCTAACAGGGATGGTGTGCCGAGACCTGGAACCCTCCTCACCAGAGGGCTGGGAGTCTGGGAAGGAGGCTCTGGAGTGAGGCCTCCTTGCCTGTCACGCTGGAGGCCATGCTGTCCTTCTGTCCATCTTGTCCATCCTGAGACCCGCCCATCTGTCCTCTGCTAACTTAACATCAAGAAGAAACACAATCCCCAAACCAGGTGACCCCCTGCTCCCCTGTCTGGGCGCCCACTGGCGCTGCTCCTGCAGTCTGTCAGTCTCATCTCTCCGTGCTCTCGGGGGCAGAAAGGTCTGAAGGTTGAGAGTAAGTTGCCTCTGGGTGGTGAGAGGTGCGTGCTGGGGGCAGAAGTTTGGTACATCTGGACTCCATGAATTAGAAAGAAAGACCTACCCAGCTCTTCTCGCCTCTGGGGCAAGAGGTCATAAATATTTTTGGCTTGTTGCCTGGGTCTAGGCAGAGTCAGCAGTGGCATGTTGGTGACTCGCAAGTAGGGAACGCGCCCTGCAAGGCAATCAGAGAGGAGGGGTTGTGGCTGGAACCAGCGGCGCAAAATGTGGAAACTCTTGGGGATGAGACGGTCCCTGGAAATATTCCCAACCCTGAGATAGAAGAATATGGGACTCAGTGGACAGGAGGAGGAAACAGGGGCACAGGAGCACCGGAGTAATGACTTCCGGGACGGAACTCCAGTCAGCTGAGAGCCTTTTGGGGCCTCGGCTTGGGATCTTGAACAAGACAACGGCTCGTGGGTCAGATAAGAGCAGAGGACTTCCCGGTGCAATAGTTTAGGCTGGGGAATAGGCTGGGTTTTGCATGCCAGTCTAGGTTATTGGTCCTGGTGGTGTGTCTCAATAATGGACAAACAGGGACTCACACTTCTTCCATTTATTCCAGTTCCACAGGATGCAGAAAATCACGATGATGAGGAGGATGGCGAGAAGTCCCGCAAACCCAGCAAAGTTGCTGCTGCCCTGGTCTTGATCTCTGCGAGGAAAACCACGGGCCATGGCCCAGCAGTAGGAGGGTGGGTCAGGGTTGGAGAACAGGCTCGCTTCAGGAGTGAAAGCCCGGGGATTTGGAACAGGAGCCAGGTGGGGTGGAAGGAAGCCAAGCTGGGCTGGGAAATTGGACATGGGAGAAGGGATCTACCCCTTTGAATGCCTGTGGGATGCTGTGGGTTTGCATGTGAATCTTATTTAATCTTTACAACAAACCTGTCTCTTGCTGTGGCCAAGAAACCTGAGATTCAACTCAGAAAGGTAGAGTAAGATATCAAAGATCACAAGGTAGGAAGGAGCAAAGATGGCATGTGAGTCTAGATCTGTGCTCTTTCCGCTGGACCACATTGTCCCTCTGACCTTGCAAAGTCAAGTCTACCTGGCCCTGCTTCCGCTTGGTCCCCTCTCCTGGACTTCTGGTCTTTTGCAAAAGATAGGATTCCACAACTTTCACGTAGGGAGTGGCTCCGTGATAGCGCCCAGCTTGTGGAACCCACAGCACCAGCTTGTGGAGCTGGGCTCCACGGCTCTGCTGTTCTGTGAACTGCCGCAAATGCACTGAGCAAGTTCTGTGCTGTTTGCAATTCCCTGGCAGGGCTGGAGTTTCTCTTCCTCTTTGCCTGCTGCAACAGGAAGCAGCCAATTGAGATTACAGCAGGAATCATAGGATACCTGCTACCGCCAAATATTAGAGCCCAGGTCATCTACCAGGGAAGGTTCCGTCCTCCTGAGTTCTAGGTTTGTCTATCTACCTTTATACTGGACATTCCTGCTAGGATACCTAGTAGCCATCTCAAACCAAATATGTCTACAACAGAACTCCTGTTCTTCCCCCATAAGCCTGCTTCCCCTCTGGCATCCCTACCATCTAGAGCTTGGTCGAAAACCTTGGAACCATCCTTGACTGATCTTTCTTTCAGGCCCTACTTCCAGTCAACCAGCAGATTCCGTCTGCTCAAGCCCGAGCGTCTATACCAAAGCCAGTCACCTCCTGCTTCTCCACTGCCACCACCCCGGGACAAGCCACCGTGTTTTCCCCAGGGACCTTTGCAAGCACCTCTCTAATGGGTCCCCTTGCTTTCACTCTTGGCCCTAACATGCTATCTTCACACATGAGCCAGCATGATCCTCTAAACAGCAAGTCAGATCTATGCTTCTCTGCTTGCAACCCTCTACGGCGTCAATGGGATGACATCCATTATCCCTACACGGCACCTTCCGTTCTGACCTCTGCCTACCTTCTGACCTCATTTCCCACCACCTTTCCTCTGACTTTGACCAGGACTCCTTGCTCTTCCTTGTCCATGCAAAGCACAGTCCTGTCTCAGGCCAGCCTCTCCTTCTCCCAGGTGTCTGCACAGCTCAGTCTCTTTGAAATGTCACCTCCTCCGACAGCTCCTCTCTGGCCAGACCTGATTACTCTCAGTCCTGTTACTTTGCTCTGTTTTTTCTTCATAGCACCAAGGGCTGATTGACATTATATTGTATGTTCGCTTTTTCATCTGTTTATATCTGACTCTCCCACTTGACTATAATCTCCAGGAGGTTATGGACTTATTCATACTATTCACCTGGTGCCCAGAATGGTGTCTGATACTTAGTAAGAATCTGATGAATATTGATAAATGAGTGACTTAATAAACAAAGAAACAAGTATCAGAGGTTTTTCTGGGTGGGTGTGGCTGAAAGGTCCTGACACTTCATTCCCCATCGATACCCGTCCGCATGCAAATGACCTGCGTTTGTCGGTTATGACATTTGTTTTCCTAAACTACAGTGATTTTAAGTTTATTATTGTTGAGTTGTGCTGTTATCATAGCGCTGGAATTTATACCTTGTCATGCTCCTAAAGTTTCAACTGCAGATGGACTTTTGTTTATTTTTTTAGTATGATCTTGGAAGTTTTAGTGGTAAAACTTATATCCATGATTAGCTCTGTGCAATTTTATATTTTAGACATATCCTTATCATGTCTATGATTACAGTCTCATTCATGGCAAGCTTTTAGAACTTAAAAACATATCGTTGGAAAAAGTAGGCCTTTTGTTTTGCTCATGATGGGACTGAGGTTATTTTTGAGTATTGTGATTGTTGGAGCCTGAGACAGGAAAGACGGAAGACCGCAGTCAGGGCCTCTGAGAGGTGGGACACCAGCCCGGCCCACGACCAGCTCTAAGGAAGTCCTGTGTTAGCCCAGTTTTTCTCCTTCCCCAACAGCCCCTGTTCTTCCTCCATGCCTCTTCCTTTCCTCTCAATAGTCCCGAGCAACCTTCTCTGAGGCTAGAGCCTGGTGGTCTCAGCGGACCTGAGCCTATTTGTGAAGGGTGGTAGCAAGGCTGGGGTAGAAGCCTCCCAGGGTAGACCAGGGCCCTCTGTCCACATCAGGGGAGGGTGGAGCTCACCACCCTGAGCCACTCACCTGTCCAGGGTGCTGAGGGTTTTCTGCAGCGTGCTGGCCTTCCAGGCACTCCCTTGGATTTCAGAAGTGGCTGGGTCTGTGACAGCCATTGTCACAGGGACCTCTCGGGCTTCAGCTTCTCCTTCTGAGCTTCCCTCTTAGTCATCATCAACTAGCCAGCAGATCTGCGGTCCTGGCTCTTCCTACATTGCTGCCTGCCAGGAGAAAAGGCAAAATTTGTGTTTTATGTATAACCCTGTGTGGTTTAACACAGCTTTGTTAGGCGAGAGTGACAGAAATCCTCCTGGTTTCCAGTCTTCCAAACACCCACTAATGCACAGCTTTTTCTTCTTAAATCTTTGTTCACCAAAGTCGCTCACAAAAGGAAGCCTATTGTTTTTTATTTCTCCTTTCTAGAGCCTCTCCTTAGCCTCTCTAGAACTGTCTTTCCCCCAACAAACTCCCTACCTCCTCCCCTCTACCCCTGAAATGTCAGTCGAGCTGACCCAGATACAGAGCAAGAAGTCCGCTCTACCTGGACGCGCCAGCCCACTGCGGGCGGGGGCGCTCATCCCGCTGGTGCTCCCCAGGCGAGGCGGCTCAGGGAGGTGCTGCGGTCTCTGCCTGCTGGTGGAAGCGTGAGGGGCACAGAGGGGGAAGCTGCGGAGAGCTTGGGCAGCTCACCTTCCCCCAGCCCCCAACGCCAAGAGCAGAGAGCAAACACTTTGCCAGAATGGAAACAGAGAGTCAGTCACAGGAAGCGACACCACCGGTGTGCTAATGAAGCGTGGGGCCCAGGAAGTGCTGCTCGGCTCTTCATAGAGGAGAAGACACGTCTGCACCCCAGTTCCCTGGATGCGCCGGGCGCGCTGTGGTATGTGCGGGGTGTGGTTAAAGGCGGGCCAGGCCGTGGGGCCTTTGCGGAGGTTCTTCCTGGGCTTCCAAGACCGCTTTTCATAAGCCTCCAGGTTGATTCTGTTTTTCAGCAGGTCTAAGGTGCATGGGGGGTGCTTTTTAGAAACACACTGAGGCCTGTGGCACCCCGCTGTTGACCCTGCTGGTCCGTGGGTGAAGGGGACAGAGGGGAGAGACGGCTCGCATAGATGCTCCCCCGGGCTTTTTGATGGAGCTGCTCTGTGTATCACATTTTGAGATCTGCCCTGGGTGTTGCCCCAAGAATGGAGCTAATGCCAGGTCCACAGGGCCCCAGAGACCATTTCCTCCCTGGGGGCCTGCCCTCCCCGACCCCGGGTTCCCCCGCGGAAGGTAGATCCAGGCCTGCTTGTGGCATACGTGCCTCGGAACCGGATAACTCATCCCGGGGGCTACCCAAAGTGTTCCCAACTTGGATGACTGTTCAAAATTTGTTTCTGACTCCCTCCCCTTCTTCCCCTTATGATCTTCTAAACCCTCTTTGCATCACCGGAGGCAACAGAGAGAAACAGAAAGACGTGGCCGCTGAGACCATTATGAGGATGTGAAGAACACTTTGCTCTCCACGAGGAAGTGGGCTCCCAGGTGGATGGGAGGGGAGACAGCCCATGCCTCACCTGCCTGCCTCTCCTGCATCTATTTCCAGGGGACCCCGAGGCCCCCAGCTTCCCCAAGCCATTGGCCCTGCCCTGTGCACACCCAGCCCAGAGTGCTTGGCTGCTCCGGGTGCCCCCTGCCCCACCTCCCTGGAGTCTTACCTGCAGGAAGCAGAGATGGCTCAGAGGCAGCTGGTCCTAGAGCTGGAACCTGGGTCTCTACCCACCTCTCCTTTGCATCGGGTTTGGTTAAGAACAGGGACTCCTCATGGGAAGAAGACCCATCACTGCATTGTACTGGTGGCCGGGACTGGCGGAAGAGAGAGGCCCCTCAGGCCCGTCCTGAGCCGCTGGTGCCAATAGGGGACTGCGTGTGAACCGGGAACGTGGAAGGTAGTACAGGGGAAGGGCAGATAGCACCAGTCCTCAGAACCCTGCTATTTAAAAAACACTTTTTTTTTTTGGTCCGTGGGTGAAGGGGACAGAGGGGAGAGACGGCTCGCATAGATGCTCCCCCGGGCTTTTTGATGGAGCTGCTCTGTGTATCACATTTTGAGATCTGCCCTGGGTGTTGCCCCAAGAATGGAGCTAATGCCAGGTCCACAGGGCCCCAGAGACCATCTCCTCCCTGGGGGCCTGCCCTCCCCGACCCCGGGTTCCCCCGCGGAAGGTAGATCCAGGCCTGCTTGTGGCATACGTGCCTCGGAACCGGATAACTCATCCCGGGGGCTACCCAAAGTGTTCCCAACTTGGATGACTGTTCAAAATTTGTTTCTGACTCCCTCCCCTTCTTCCCCTTATGATCTTCTAAACCCTCTTTGCATCACCGGAGGCAACAGAGAGAAACAGAAAGACGTGGCCGCTGAGACCATTATGAGGATGTGAAGAACACTTTGCTCTCCACGAGGAAGTGGGCTCCCAGGTGGATGGGAGGGGAGACAGCCCATGCCTCACCTGCCTGCCTCTCCTGCATCTATTTCCAGGGGACCCCGAGGCCCCCAGCTTCCCCAAGCCATTGGCCCTGCCCTGTGCACACCCAGCCCAGAGTGCTTGGCTGCTCCGGGTGCCCCCTGCCCCACCTCCCTGGAGTCTTACCTGCAGGAAGCAGAGATGGCTCAGAGGCAGCTGGTCCTAGAGCTGGAACCTGGGTCTCTACCCACCTCTCCTTTGCATCGGGTTTGGTTAAGAACAGGGACTCCTCATGGGAAGAAGACCCATCACTGCATTGTACTGGTGGCCGGGACTGGCGGAAGAGAGAGGCCCCTCAGGCCCGTCCTGAGCCGCTGGTGCCAATAGGGGACTGCGTGTGAACCGGGAACGTGGAAGGTAGTACAGGGGAAGGGCAGATAGCACCAGTCCTCAGAACCCTGCTATTTAAAAAACACTTTTTTTTTTAAGAAGAACTTCCCCCTGCATGTGATCATCTCAAGGCCTTTCTCTTATCTACCCAGCGTCTTGAGTCAGACTAACCTTCCCTCTGGTCTTCAGATTATCTCCTGCCCCCACACTTGAGGGAAGCAGGCTCCTCAAAGGAGGCTTCCAGGCTGCAGGCCGACCTCTAGGCTTACAGGCCCTGGCTGCAGCCCCCTTCCTTCTCCCCATGGTGCAAAAAGCAATCACCTGAACAAAACACAAAACAGGTGTCACAAGTTAGTATAATAATGGGAGAAAACTGCTTACTCCTGGGAAAGAGTGTATGTTTTAACCCTGATGGCTCTAGTGTTTCCCTTTAAGCACTTTTAAATTTCAGGGGTTGAATGTGACGTATGATTCTAAAGTATTAAGATTGGTTTTAAATAGAATTTATGCATTCAAGTGAGCAAAGCCCCTCAACTGGAGGAGCCACACACTGGCTCACACAAGAAACCTTTCAGGGTCCTCTTTGGAAGCACAGCAGCACGGGGTTCAGACTATCCACACACGTTCAGATCTTAAATTACTACTTGGGTGATCTTGGAAAGGTCCTCTAATCTTTCCGGGTGTTTCCTTGGATCTAAAAATGACAATAATCATAGTACTTGGGTAAAGCTCTTGTAAGAATTAATTGGACTAACAATGAAAAATGCTCGGCTTAGGACTCGGCGTATGCAAGAGCTCATCAAGTAGGGGCTGCTATTACATTATTGCCTCCCTATGCATTTGACTCACTTCTTTATACTTAATGGACTGCCCCCCTTCGGTCTTTCTCTTGATGCTCAGACTGCCCATCTCCCACGTGTGACTGTATTCCTCAGGCACGTAATTATGGGACATCTCCCACTGTAAGGCACTAGGCCGCAGCTTTGTGCACAGAGCCAATGTGGTCCTGGCCCCCTGCGGCGGTCACTCTGGGCTGGCCGCCCCGTGCAGATGCTCTGCATTCCGAGCAGGCGCACCCGTTGTCGCCTTCATACTAACCCTGCTGAAACCCTGACCCTTTCCTACTTTCCTACCTTTGACTAGTTCCTCCATTTTAACAGCAGCTTGACGGTTAAAATGCTTTTAAACATATATTGGAATAGAAATAAAATCACCTTTTAAGCATTTATACCAGTTATTTCTGGGCTGTGGGGCTTGAGGTATTTTGTTACTGTCTCCTTTGGACTCTTACTGCCTGAATCATTACAAAGATCAAGTGCTGTTATAAAAAAACAAAACTGTTATTTAAAAAAAAAAAAGAGCCGTGTCACCACCTCTGTGAAGCCTTCCCCTCTGGGAAAACTTGGTTCTTCCTCTTCTGGGTCCTCCTGGCACCAAGCACGGAGGCACCTGGCAAATACTGGGATCGGTTGCTGAGGCATAGACTTTGCACCCCGTCAGGGCAGGGACTGTGTTTATTTTGCGCCTCTCTGGCGTTCGGCACCGCGCCTGACCCGAAGAGTTGATTGGCCCTCTGAGACGTTCTCTGAGGTGCTTATCGCTGCTGCGGATTTATGACCTAAGCGTGTAATGGGTGAGATAACGAGAAGGAAGGTGTGTCTGGCCTTTCTCCCTGCCGGGCGCTCATCAGCCACAGGAGAAAGGTGCGCCCGCAGGACGGAAACCTGAACATCGCTGCTGGGTCTCCTTTGCTCTAGGAAGGAGTTACCAGTGGCTTTTGTATTTCTGGGCCAAACAACCCAAGCCTGGCTTTGTTTTTGAAGGTCTGGGAGCTGAGACAGTCAAGGCAGGATGACAGCTGGGGCCTGAATGGCCGCAAGCCCCCACCTCCCTCTGCTTGCTACACCCCGAGGCCTTCTCCAGTCCGGGCAAGTCTGCAACAGAACCGAGGCACCAAAGACCTTTCTTCTAAGTTAAAGTTGTGAGAGAGGAGAGTTAAGACACAAGATTTAGAAAGTGCAGAAATATTTCTCTCACTTCTTTAGACTCTGCCTGGACTGTGCACAAGGCCCTTGGGATGAGGGAGGAGAATCTGGGAGCTGGGAGTGTGGCCAGCTTAGAGGATGGTTTCTGTTCCCCACTTAGGCTAAGCCCCAGGAGGAGGTGGGCTGACGTTGCCGACAGGCCAAGAGCGCACTTTCCTGAAGTCTGGTGTCCTGAGAGCAGGCAGGCCTGTGCCTTCTCTGTCCTTCTGCAGTGTAGTCTGGCAGCCTCCCTGTGAGTCTGAGGTGGCTGTGAGGCGTGTCCGGATGAGCAAACGTCTGCTGACAGCCCCAAGTCTCCCCTCAGCCCCAGAGCTGTGTGTGAGTGTCTCTCCTCCGAGCTCACACCACAGAGAGGTTCTGACCCTGGGCTCTCAAGGAGCAGAGGCAGCAGGGAGGGCAGTCACATCAGGAACCAGATGAGGACACAGCACATCTCAGAGGAGGCACCGAGAGCAGAGGGCAGGTCTGGGGACCAGACAGCTGGCGGGACAACTGGCAAGGGAGGCTGGAACAGGGAAGGCACAGGCCAAAAGCGTTTTCTTTGTCCCCTTCTTGTGTGAGTGAACAGAATATCATTTCAATCACTTCATCAGCCAGGCTGTTCTGAACAAGCTAAGGTGGCAAGCAATACATCTTAATTTTTTTGAACATACATTTTCTTTCCATTATTTTGTGTGTCATAGGACAACAACAAGACAGTGGGGCTTGGGTTTACCTGTGTCCCTTTGTATTATTAGGCTCTGTCCACCTGTGCCACATGTGCCAGCCAAAGATGCATGGCCCTTCCATTTTCCCCTAGATTGTAGCCACACAGTAGCCAGCATGAACCTCTTTAATTACAAGATAGATCATGGTAGTCTTCGGTTAAAACCCTCCAATGAATTCCCATTTCAAGAAAGTCAATCTTTCTACTGGCTTGCACCTTCTGCCCCCACTTGCAACCCTCCATCTGTGGACTTACCTCTTTCACTTTCCCATTTAGTCACTCATTTCCAACCCCTGGCTTCCTTGCATGTCCTCAAACACATCAAGAGCTCCTGCCTCAGGGCCTTTGCACTTTCTGTGCCTTTTGCCTGGAATCTCTTTCCTTTATATTTATCTAGCTCTTCTTACTCCCTTCCCACCTCTTCACAAATGCCTCTTTGTCAGAGAGGCCTTCCCTGGCCACAAAAGGGCAGCGCTCATGCCCTGGGTTCCCCATTTTCCTTACGCTTCACTTTCATCTCTGGTCCTTTTCACCATGTGACATGCTATGTATTTACTTGTTGATTGTGTTTCTCTTCCAGGAGACTAAATTCAAAGAGTGTGGGGACTTTGTTAGTTCTCTGTTGTATCTCCAGTGCATACAACAGTGCCTGGCACAATAAATACCTGCTGAATGAATGACAGACAGATATCCAAGGGGAGGAGATGAGACCATAAAATATGACCAAGAGAGACCTCTCCCAGCTCCTGGTGAGTGCTGGTTCGTGTGGCGTGAGGAGGGCTTCAATTTAGAAAAGGTAAGAAACAGAGTTCTTGAGCTTTCTGGGCTGTGGAACAGTCTGTCTTTGTCGCAGGTATACGTGGCTGAGCCCGGGTGAAGCCTGGCCGCACACATCCCGGTTAGCAATCATGTCCCATGCACACACAATAATGCCACATTCCGGGGGGAGCTACAGCAAATGAGAGAAATGCCATTTGGACATTCTCCAGTGGCTGTCAATAGGAATTTCAGACACTAGAGCAAGAATGAGTGTCAGAGTTGAAGAGACCCTTAGGTCCCACGGCTACTTAGCAGCAGGTAGAATTATAACACAGGCCTTGTCATTCCCATTCAGCTCTCTCCACAATAGCACAAATGAGCCATCTTGCTTTTCCTCTCTAATTTTATGCCATTCCATTGGGTTTGAGATCTGGATCCCCAAACTACTGCTCTTTCCACAACAAATTCCCCAGCAGAAGCAGCTGGATAATAATCTCAGCAGGATGGACTACTAATCACTAAGTTTTACTCTGTAGTATTTGTGCTTAATGTTAATAATTAGAATGGGAGACTCTCAAGACGGGGTCCAAATTAGGCTTGTGCATTTAATAGCAGGCCTTGTTGCTTGTCATCCTAGTTTGGATCATTTCAGCACCGATTAATTGACTTGTTAATTAGAATTTAGCATTTCGGAGCCAGTGGGGACTTAGAGATGGCTAGTTTACAGCACTTTTAAATACTTTTTTTTAAAGCTATCGCTGACCTGGAAGCCAAATACCTTAAAAAAGAAAAAGGTGCTTTGTTGAACACCTGTGGGCTCCATCTAATGCCTAAGGAACCCTTTCCAGATCTTCAAAGTGTAGTCTGAAGATCACTGATGTAGTTCAACAGTCTCCGTGTAGAGATGGAAAATGAAGCCAGGCAAGCAGCATAGTTGAGAACATGCACCTCCTGCCCCCTGGGCTGCCACGTGTCAGCACTTTATGCTGCCTCCCAGTTTTGTTTTAGATCCTCCACGAGAGGGCGAGCAGAACTTTCAAGCCCCTTCCATCTCCTACCTGGTCAGCAGCGCTCTCAGCTCAAAGGTTTGCTGGGGAGATGGGAGAATTCTTGACTCCGATGGAGGATTACCGTGGGTGTATCTGTTCTCCTACTTTGTGGCTGAAGGCACTTGCTAATTCCTGACCCTTCCTTCCCCAGCCTCACTTCCTCTTTCAAGTAAGTTTCCTTGTGCATTTGTCTTCAATAAAGCTAAGACATGAAGATCTGGAGTGGAAACACACGTCAGAGAAACCAGGCGGTGTCTGAGTCTGAACGCAGGGGCCGGTCTAGCCAAGAGGAGAGACGCTGTCCTCAGCTCTGAGTGTGATGGTACCAGCCACTCAGACTGTTCAAGTACTTCTCATCACTCGGATTTCATGACTGTAATCTGGCTTCCCAAATCTGTGGATCATTTATGTTCTCACTATAAACGAGAACATTTACATTCTGGTTTTGACATCAGCTTCTCAGATGGCAAACGGAGGTCATCCCAAAGAAACTACTCCCTCCTATGGGTATGTCTTCTGAGGACAGGGAGATGTTCTTTGAAACAAGTGCCAGAGAGGTAAAGACGTATGGTTAGCTCCACATCGGGATGTGGGCAAGCCTGGAACACAGAAGCCACTACCTTTCAAAGCTATAAGTATTCCAGTCTGTGAATCTAGCATTACCTCTGATGGCTTAGGTTCACTTTGGGGACAACTCAATGCCAATGACATCACAGAGGAAGATAGGAGCATGTTTATGTGATTCATTTACAGTAGGTTTCAAAATTATTTGCTGGTAAAGGCTATGCCATGTTTACCTTCCTTTCTGCTCGCAGTGACACGAAGACCACGTCCTAACAGATGCAGGCCAGGGGCTGGTAACCAGCGCGTTTGCACCCAGTGAGTTCGTGTTGGATTTGCCCCCAAGTCAGGGAGTTGCCTGGCTGTGTGTGTCCTGCGGTGGGGGGACCAGCCAGTTATGGTGGAGAGCTTCAGACAAACCGAGTGACCACAGGGAGAGGATATGTGGCTGAGAAAGGGGAGACTCACAGAGCGTCATTCAAGATGGAGGGCAAAGAAATTATTCTTTCTTCAGAACCGGGGTAGGAAAAACAATGGAAGAGAAAAGCATGCTCTTCTCCATTCAGTAACTCAGACCCAAGACGCTGAGCTGGCTTTATACTCCATGAAACCACTACCTTAGGGTACACTGGTCTCTGCCAGAAAGCTACTTTGGAGCTAATTCTTCTCTGTGCCTTATGGCACACTGGGGTTGGGGTGCAGGTACCAAAGAGCCTGTTTGGCATAGCGGAGAGGCACAGATCTAAGGCCCAACAACACAAGGTGAGGGTTAGAGGGGAAACACGGGGCCCAGCTTTACAAAGTTTTTGTGCATGTATGTGTGTGCGTGCATGTGTGTGCACACATGCCTGCATGTTTTGCATCTTTTTAGCAAGCATAGCCGGGAGGGAACCTACAGTGGGATCGTATTTCTTGGGTGACCCATTACCAAGAAAGACCCAGTCCCTGTTACTTACCTATTAATTTTTTTCTCCCCAGCCCATTTTAAAGACAGGAAGTGGCAGTGGGCCTGTGCATGTGGGGAGCAGCCTAGGGTAGAGGAAAGGTGGAAATCAAGCCCTCACTGCAGAAGCCATTCTCAGCCAGGGCTGGGTCCTCCTTCAGAGCAGCCAGGAGGGTGCGGGCTGTTCCTCAGCATTATACTTTCCTAAGGAACCCTGGGGTGACCACAAAGTCCTTTCCTTCCCTTGATGTTTTGAATGTGCTTGTGCAGTTGGACAAGAGGTGCAGGAAGGAGGTCCAAGTTCAGTCCTGAGATTCGAAAGCTCAGATTTAGGTGACCTGCCAGGAAGCTAGTTTGGCCTGAAACTGGGGCCTCAACAGTCATGTTAGAGACTCACTGAATGGGACAATTAAAAAAAGCCAAAACAGACAAACAAATAAATAACTTCCAGAAGGCAGGAACTAGAGAAGCCCAGAGGGAAAGTCCAGAAGAGTGCTCAGACAAGGGGAATGAATTTTACCCAGAGGCACTTCGTTTAAAAAAGAAAAAAAAAGCAAACAAAAAAGGAAGGACCTCCAAGCCTGCCTCTTTCTTATCTTTCCAAATTCATCCTTTTTCAAAACCTCTAGCTTCACAGCTCCATGACTGCAGATTCTAAGAAGTGGGTGGCGCAAAGTTTGCACTGCAGGGGTGTAAAACAGGCCACCAGGCTGCCGGTCGCGGGAAGGAACCCCTGGCAGGGAAGTGTGTCCAGGCCCAGTTGCAAGCTGAGTTCTTGGCTTGCAGGTGAGCGTTGGGGGTGCCAGAACCCTTCTCAGTTTCAACAGACAACCAGTGACATTCCCCCAGAGCGGAGACACAATGAGGACAGCAGAGGTACAAGAGGCACGGGTCTTTATTCTCAGTGCACGGCAGTATTGGTTTCTGCTTATCAGCAACAAGCTTTATTGGTTCCCAAAAAATTATCCCTTTATATCTCTTCTTTAAAAACGCCTCTTCTAGGCTTCCCATCTCAGTGGAACAACATACTTGAATCTCAGATTTGCCAGTTTATAGCATTTCCCCCCTAAGAACCATATAAATACATGCAAAACATTGTACAGAGAGCTTAAATAATATCGAAATGCAAGTACAGTTTGGGTGCACTGATAAGCTGAACTGCAAATTATGGCAGCACACGCCGGGGTACACGTTGCTTGGATGTCACCATTTGTTTGTTTATGTCATGCAAACCACAACAGTCAATCTTCTGTTTTTTTCTTTTTTATACAAAAATGTCAGTGCTTGTTATATTCATTACTGGAAAAAAGAAATGCAAAATGCCTGTCTGTGTGCTAATTTGAAGAACACCGTAGATTTGTGGCACATATATATGGCATATTCACATATGGCATATATACATATGGGGGGCACAACATGGACCAAGGGCCAGTTCCCTCGTGAGGCGCTCACCTCCCTCCATCTCTCTTAATCAAGAGGAAAGGGGACGGGGCCAGCAGGCCTAACAGCAGGGCTGGGAAGGCAAAGAACTGGCTAAAAGGAGGGGTGTCTGGGCCATTCCGGGAGGAGGCTGGAATGGCTTGAGAATGGCAGGCGTTCATAGGTGCCGCAGCCCCACCACGGCAGTGGGGTGGTCCCGAGATATGAAAAGTGAGGACGTGTCCACTCAGTGATGGCATCACGGGTTGCTCCAATCATTAGGCAAGGAAAGCAGGACAGAAAGGAAGTGACGCACTTAGAGGTTTCTGGGCACACGTGAGCTGGCCACGCCCTACGGGCTTTGGCAAGGAGGTGATCACTCAGCTGCCACCACACGAACACCCCTCTGAAGCTCAAGGGGAAGAAGAAACCCAAGTGCCAAAGGGATTTCTAGGTGGTCTCTCTAACACCTTCAGGGATGGGGGTGTCGTTTCAGGGGGCAGAGGGCGCCGAGGGAAGGACCTAGCCCCAAGACTGTCACCCAGGGCTAGAACCAGCCTTTGTTTTTTTCTCTTACACCTCTATCCCCCATCGGACACATTGCATGAAACCTTTCTAGGGGATTGGAAGAAGTCCCAAGTCAGATCCTTGCACAAAAACTCACTAATGGAAAATCCCAGGGGCAATAGGAGGTAGAAAAACCATAAAACAATGCAAGCCCCAAACCAGAGTATCCTTGTAGCCCAAGAGATATTCACGTCTTGGGTACCGCTCTGCCAGCTATTCATCAAGAAACAAAGTCCACCCAGGGCCCCTGGTCCTAATCACTAATTGCTAAGGAGCCTGGCGCCCGTCTCCGGAGGGCGGGGTTACGCCCTCTCCCCGGCTGTCCTTTCTCGCTGGGTGCTTTCCTTCCCATTCGCACTCTACTGCCCCTTTTTCCTAGGTTTATCAAGAGAGGAATCTAGGATCCTACGTTCCCCTTTTTCCCATCAGCTCCTTTTCAGATCCAAAGCACCATTTTGGGGGAAACCTTGATTAACGGACACCATATTTACTCACTGCCCGTTGGATCACTGAAACTGATTAGAAAAAAACTTATATAAAAGACATACACACATAGACACTTAAACTTACTCAATTCCATATCAACACAATTTATATTAAAAAAGTTTAGAACCCAACAATTTTTTTTCCCCCTAAGTATAAAGATGGCTGTTGGGAGAAAGGAAAGGCGGTGCATTGGTTTTAAACCCAATGGCAAATATTCTAAGTCCCCTGTCACGTCAAACAGCTGGCTATGTGCCCCCTCCACGGGGTCATGACAGCACGTAATTTAATTCCTTTCAACAAAATACATATGGCTGACGCAAAAATATCAGTTTCTGGTCTAAAGAAAACTATATATATTTTTTGCATAATATTTTTCTATTTTCTCTCCTACCATGAAAATACACAAAAAACCGTTGACTTTAAACAAGTAGATACAAGCCCTCAGGGGTCACCTGTCAGGCACCGTGAGAGTCTTCTGGGAGCAGGAATGGTAAAATAGCCTCCAAGGTTTGTTATTGGCATGTTTTTTAAACTGATCTGAGGTAATAAAAGACTTAACAGAACTAAATTTCCCAATGTACTTAATAAATATATATGTGAACACCTAACACCTAGAGGGAGCTGGCTTTTTTTCTCCCCCATGAGTATTTAAGACAGAGAAAAGATTGCTGAAGCATGTAACATTTGTAAAATCAAAGTCAAGTTGGGTGGGTAAGGTTGTAATAAGGGTGTGTAGGGGTATTGTTTCTAGATTATTCTTCCTACCTTGGACAGCTCAGGAGAAAGCAGTGAGGCAGGAGGGGGTCCAGGAAAGGCCGGAGAGGTTCAGGGCACCTGACTCAGATGGGAACTCGGCAGTTCAAGGAGCCTCCAGCCCCTCCTCCCTCCTCCCATCACCCTCAGAAGAGGGGGGAAGGCTTCGCTTGCCTGGTGGGAGCTGGGAGCAGGCAGACGTGAGTGTGAGTCAACGACAGCAGGGATGAAAAGGGGGCCCCAGCACACATGGCTCCACCTGGTCCCCATAAGGAACACTTAGAAAACCTCCTGGTGACGCCCCCCGCTCCTGAGAGGCACGGGAGAAGGGGCTGCTTTGGGCAGTGTTCAGGGAAAGGCACAGGGCTGGGCTGCAGCAGCTGGGCGCAGTCTGGAGGGGGCTCGAGTGGGCCGTGCGGGAGAGAGGAAGAGAGGGAGGGCTTTCCAGGGTGGCCTTTTGCTCCTTGAAGTCAGCAAAATGTCACTGGAGCCTCCCACTTGGGATCCATATTTTCAAAATCTGAATATTTGAGAAGAGCTGGGACCTCTGCAGAGACTGGATGAGTTTAGGGGACATAGCAGAGTAGAATTAGATACTAAAGGGAATGTCAGCGCTGGTCTCCAGGCACCCAAACTGAAGGTGTCTGTTTTCTCAGAGCTTGCTAGTAGGGCCCTCCGGCCGCTCCCAAGTCTTCTTGACACTCCCTCCCTCAGCAATCAGGTCCTGCCGTGGAAGAGTCTTGGCAGATGGCTTTGAAAGCAGTAGCGGGCATCCCAAGCAGGACCCTGCCAGAGCTGGCTTTGATGGCACCTTGTCCTAGACCCGCCCGCTTCTGGTCCTCAGTGTCCAAGTACAGTTAGGAGGCAGGGTCATTCACAATTCATTCTTTTGCCACCCCTTTAGGAAAAGGAAAGCTCAGGCTTATGGTAAAAACTATATACCACACATACACAAGTTCCGCCGTCAAGGCTGATCCCCTAGCACTTAGCAACCACACACACCGGACAGGACGGAAGATTAGAAGTACAAGCTGACCTGGCGACTACAGGACCACCTTCTTGCCCACTCTCAAGTGCTTCAAAGGACCCTTTCAGCAGAGACCCCCATCTGCCTCCAGCACCAAATCAAGAGGTTCACTGGGGCCAGAAGGGAGGATGGCCAAAGTTGACTCAGTTTACCCACTTCCTTTCCACTTTCTTAATCATCACAACTCAAAAAATCCAAGTGTGCATGTAAGAAAGACAATGGTTACAAAAGACCAAAAGACCCTTGGGGAGGTTTGACTGGAAGGGCAGAAAGAGCTCAGAGGGCTGTAGGTATACATTTTGAAAATGGGAAAATCATTTTAAAAACAATCACTCTATATGCTGATTCTATACATTCCACCCTACCTCCACACATTTCCCTCAGGGATTTGTCTCTCTGAACCCTCAGCTTAGCTTATAGACGGCACGGACTCATAGGGTAAAATCCAGAATTCAGGATATGTGACATATGTATGTATCGTGGAGGAGCATCTGGAGTGGATGCCAAGAAGATCATCATTTGTTTAAAAATGACAACTGACATGCCCAAGGAGTAGAGTTCACCATTCGTTACCTGCCTGAGGTTTGACTGGGTCCTGTTATAAACCCCAACTCAAGTTTAAGTCGAAATCCTCACAGGTCTGTGTTCTTGTCTCTCCATGGTCAGGTGGGGGCTCACACATACTTGGGAGCAGCTGACATGAGAGCAAAAAGCCCCATCATCCCCTTAGACGGGATGGATGAGAAAGGAAATAGGGAAAGCGGGAATGGGAGGCCGAGAGAGAAGCTCAAACTGATGTCTCCAGGCTGTGCAGGGGGCTGTCCGAGCAGGAGGCGACAGTCTGCCCTTGGCTGCAGTCCACCGCGTTGTTGTTTCTGTTGGCGTGCGGAGTGGCCTCACCATCCGAAGGGGGCGCGCTAGTCTCAGACTTGAAAACCTTTTCGAGATCTTCCTCCTCATGCTCGTCCAGGAGGGGTGTTCGCGGCATCTCCTCGTCTACGGCGAATTCAGGGTGGGCCATGAAGTTGTGGATGGAGTTTTGGTTCTTGGGTTTCTGAATACTTTCGTGGAGGGAACTATGGAACGCTTTGACCACCTTGATCTACACCAGGGGAAGGATGAGAAAAGGAGGGTGAGAAGATACGGAGGGGAGGACTGGCCGGCAGAACAAGGAACTGGTGGTTTGAGGAGAGAAACAAAACCCAACTACAAAACACTACTGGCTCAACAACCGAAACCAAATGCAAGAATGGGTCACGGAGCACTAGAAACATCAAACTCCAAGCACTGGGGTGAGGTGAGGTGAGTAATGGCAAACAACTAGGACATCTCAAAAGCTGCATTAAAAAAAAAACAACAACAGTAGAAACCCCAAGGCAAAGTCAGCATTCCCAAACAACCCACTCTTAAAATGAAACAGAAAACAAAAAAGGTTTGATTAGTTCTTTGGGATGGAGGGCAAAGATATTGGAACTAGGTGCAAATTAACAGCCAAACTTAAAAGATGATTCAGACACGTGGATTTCTGTGTTGAGGCCAAACATTTTGTGAACGTGGCACGGACAAATTACACATTGAAGTTATCTGTTTAAAACTTTCAAAGAGCCAAACACATACCAATCACCAATTTGCACATAATAAACTTCAGGTGATAGGTGACCACGAATACCGTGCAGCAAGCCAGACAAACCAATCTTCGCTTGTGACAGCAGCATGCAAGAAATTGAAACTCTTATTCTCTCCAATTTTATAACTGTTCTTCTGGTGGGGAAACATGCACATATTTATATCCTGCAACCTCATGGATGTCCCACAACCTCCACCATGTCCCCTTCCCTAAAAGAAAACAGAACTCCACTCTTTCAGTCCCTCCCCTGCAAGATGTGGATGAAACACAGGACTCAGAAGACACCTTCCTCCTACAACTGAGAGAGGACCTGGCTCTCGGAACTCGAAGGCGTGCCCGTGTCTCTGATACATGCCAACTGTGCCCAGTCAAGCAGCTTTTCCCAGCTGTTTCTAAATTGTGAAGAGGAGCATGACCTTACGTGGACAGGGGAAAGGATGGTC